TTGGGGTGGGGGGGGGGGGTCGGTGGTCAAGATTCTGGATGTGTAATAGGGATTTGCAATTAGTATCATTGTATGAACATAAGCACACCCTAGCACTTTGGTGTTAATTTCTTATCCATGTGCCAAAAGCGCTTAGATAACTTCCTTCGGAATTTTTTTTCATAGCCAGTTTGTTTTAGTCATGTGAAGTTAACTTTATCCCGAATCAGGATCGTATGACGTCAAACGAGCAGACTCAGCTAAGACGAAGAAGAGGAAAAAGTCCCTCCTCCTCCCATGGTGGTGTGTGTACATAGGTAAGACACCAACGTCAATACCGTTTTATAGCCAAACAATTTAATAGTTTTGCTGTCTAACAAAAAATCGCGGTCTCAGTTAAAGCCATGTTGATTGCCCAAGCGCAGGCGGGTTTTGACTTTAAAAAACTCAAAGTCTACAGTTTGAAGTTGTCTAACAAAAAGACGCGGTCTCTATAAAATCATGTTGATTGCCCAAGCATAAGTGGTTTGGGACTTCAAAAAACCTCATAGTCAACATGGTTGATTTGGTGGTGGGCCGAGTTGACCAGGGCGGTGGGCCGAGTTGACCAAATTTGCGATTGGCCGAGTTGGTAATGGTCCGAGTCGTCCTGATTCCGATATTTGGTCAATAATACCAGGAGTCAAAGTCTTCATATTTGGGGAAAATGTAGTTTCAACTTCAACATCAAAGATTAATTTTCACATAATCTGTTTATGGTATTTCCGTGTGGAAGAAATGTAATTATTGAATATACCAACGCAACTGCTAGACTCGGTGCAAGGAGGTTCTAACAGTCCCAAGCGAAACATAGCTTGCATCCCGTATATCTATCACGTCATTGTTTTCTTTTTTGTGTTAGCCCCATTGGTGTTAAAAAATTCCACGCGATTCTTTCTGGATTCACTGACATCCGTATCTATTGCAACAGGTTGGTTCTTGGTCTTCTCTTCGTGCTTCGTGTCGGCGTTCTTCACCGTCCTGTACGGGTTCGAGTACGGCAGACAAAAGGCGGAGGCCTGGCTTGTGACTTTCCTTACATCGTTCTTTTTTGACCTCGTGATCACGCAACCTTTCAAAATCCTGCTGCTCGGACTATTCTTTGCTCTCATTATCAAGGTAAAAGTCCTCGTCACGGTTTCTCTACAGTAGTCTTTTTTTGTGTGGAAGTAATATAGTGGATTCATTCCTCAAGCTTATTGACATCTTACACCGCAGTCGTCCCCCAGGAAGACATGCGAAGACACGTGTTTCCCGTTTAGAACTTTTATTCAGTTTGTTACTAGTTCTAAACGGCAACTACACGGTTCCAGATATATAACTGAGGAATGACTGCTGTGTGCAATACCTTTTAAGCTATGAATCAACTCTACACTGCTCTATATACTACACTACATCTACCTTATATACTCTAAACGACCGAGAAACAATGCTATTTTTTCTACATTAGTATACGCATGTAAATTGTTTTTGTACATTGTGAGGATTGTTGTACTTAATATAATAATGTAATGTACAAAATGTTGTGGTATCTATAATTTTGGACAGAAAATGTACATGTAAGGAGACTTCTGCAATGTATTTTACCGTTATATTTCCCACAAGGGGTGCTGATATGGCTAGATGTTTTTTTTTAGATTACACTCTCTTTTAATAGAGTCAGTAATAATCACAACTGTGAAACCATGTCTCCTTCAGAAAATAGATACGTCCGGGGAAGATGTGGCACCGACGCCCAAACAAGAAGATGAGGAATATTTGGCGCAGGAGATAAAGGTTATATAAACATACATATGGGTTGCATGCACAGTACCAACCATGTTCCGCCTTATATGTACTAGTACGTATATGTACGATTTGGTGTTATTCTCGCATGAACGCTTCACACAACAGCGAACCGCAATGAATGCGTAAGTAACTACGCCATATAAGGGCCAAAAACGTCAAGGGTCAATGACCTGATTAAGACAAGAAACTATTAAAAAAAACACTGCGTAAAAATGCCAGGTGAAAAAAAGGCTTAAGGAAACAAGACGTTATTAAAGGTTCATTTTATTCTTGGTTACTGGTTATGACAGATGTCAGTGGAACTCTTACGTGTGCATCAAAGGCAAAATGTAAACTAGAATTGATATAATTAGGAAATTGAATTCCAGGAATTAGACAAAGGTACAAGAAGTATGAGACCACGAGCCAAAGGGCCACCAGATAACCAGGAACTGCTGAAGGCTCGACAACAACGTTTCCTGGAACTTAACCTGCGTTCGGCGCTGCGCGAGCTCTCATTCTTCATTGTCTACGTTTTCATCCTGATTGTGGTTGCCAATGGAAACAGGGATCTCTACATGTACCACATGACCAACAATGTTAAAGATGTGCTAGCTGTTCCTTTCAACAAGGTAAACAAATTTCGATAACATTTATGGATATGAAGACAAAAGTGGGAGACTAATTTCGTAAAAAGATATTATTTCTCCATCTTTCTAATGTAAAGTATTTGGAAATGTTCCATTTTTATTATCTCTTTGTTTTTTCTCTAGCCTTTATAACTAAATTGAAAAGATCAATTAAAATTCAAAGTTGAAAATACAACAAAGAGATGATTTGCATTTGTATACAGTATTACTTCTTTCCTAATTACCAAAGCAAAGATTGCTAATGTCTATTTCAATGTGTCAGGTAACACATCGACAAGATTTTTGGACATTCGTGAGGAACACAGTGCTTACCGAGCTGCATTCGTCAGAGTGGTACAACGGGAGGACTATAGACTCAGACAAGCGGGGTTTTCTTTCGGACTACAACTCCTACATCGTCGGGCCCGCCAGACTCAGGCAGCTGCGTGTCAAACAAAGTAATATTTATCTATTCATCTATTTATTCGATTTAATTAATGAAATTGTAAACTGTACTGATAAGGGTGTGATATGTGGCAATATCGCCGTGCCCAATGTGTAATCATTTATTACAGTTCCCTACATTGAACGATATTGATGTTGTTGTTTCGTATGTATATGTTAACACGGATTCCACCAAAACCACACTACTTCACTGTTCATTTCTTAGACCTATCATGGCATAACTTTACCCTTGGGAGCTCCTGATGGTAGTGCGTCTTGTAGTCAGATAAAGGCTGCCCTCTAAAGCGTTTTAGCAGTATTTTCTGTTTCTTATAGGGGTAGTGTGGCATCGTGGTAGGCTGTTCGGCCAAGAACCTGGAGGTCTTCGGTTCGAATCCTGTAATATCAGAGGTTTTCTGCCCTTGGGATTGGCACTTTGCAGGACTTGACTCACTCTATTTAAATGTGCAGTGTACGTGACTTCGGTTAGGGAGGTAAAATGTAGTGGAAGGAAAGGGATTAACTACGCCTTCCAGTACTGGGACCTTGACATATTGGATACGAACTTACTGCCCCCACAGCATCAAAGGGGCGATACTTTTACCTTTTTTATGCCTTTTACCATACATTTTTTGACAGATGGTACCTGTGAGATTCCAGCTGCCATGGCTAAGATGACATTCACGTGCAACGGTGAGTACAGCTGGTGGAAAAATGACGACAAGCACTACACACTTGGATGGGGCGAGTGGATTAGCTCTTCAACCGACAGGGTGAACGTCGCCAATGTATCTGAGGAGATGAGACCTTGGGTGTACGACTCGAAAAGTCTTGCATGTGAGTAAACACGTTTTTGCGGGTGTTATTATTTTGAGTACAATTTTGGTTGTGATAACTCTACTACTGCTACATGTAGAACTATAACACTATACCCTCCAGATATAAGAATTATTAATAAGAAGGGCAAACTTTTTTTTCTGAAAACAAACATTAAATGGAAGAACTAGTTTCTACCGGAAGTTGTAAAGTACCTTGAAATGAATTACTGCCTTTCGAAGATTCTCTCTCTCTCTCTCTCTGCCTATGAGAGAGAGAATTGAGGCCAGAGGAGAGAGAGAGACAGACAGAGAGAGACAAACACACACACACACACACACACACACACACACACACACACACACACACACACACACACACACACACACACACAGAGAGAGAGAGAGATTTGAGGCCAAAGGATAGCCGATCTGGATAGCCACACAGTTCTTTCCATGTCTCATTATAGCGTCTTGGTCTATTTGGCTAATTGGCTTTATAAATGGGTGTCACCAGATAGTACAGTAAGACTTATCAGCAATATATGCACCACGTGTTTGTTTGATGAATCTGTTCTCCAGCTGCAATGCCACGATATGGTTCACACGGGGTCTACTATGGCGAAGGCTACATCCTGGAACTACAGTCCAACGATTCCCACTTCGCCCTGCAAACAATTGAGGATCTGGAGAGGAGGCAATGGATAGACTCTGCCACTCGGGCCATTTTCCTCGAACTCATCGTCTACAACCCGAACGCCAACCTGTTCTCTGTGGTCAGCCTTCTTGCGGAGTTCTCTACTCTGGGGAAGGTTTACACAAGCCATGAGGTGAAATCAGCTGTATAATGATATACTTCCATTAGTAAAGACATCAATAGCCTTCAAAATATGGTTAGAACACTATCGTGGAAATTCGTCTGTGTTAGTAGTTATTATGATGAGATGCTTATTACTATATTTCAAAACACGCATGGTGTACAAGAATCAAATTGTCAGCGATCTCTACTTTCCCCTTCACCAGTCACCCTAGATCTTAACCCCGCAATTTAACCTGATAAATGCAACATTGGTCGTTGAAAATTTGATCCTTGTGTTCTCTTCGTGTTAAAAAAGTTAACATCTTATATCATCATAGATGACAATGATATCGAATGACTTTCAATGTTAGGCTTAGTTACAAACACGTTATTTAGCCACTAATTTCAATAGATGATACCTTACATCATTATATACTAACAACGGACTCGTTGTACTTTATCATAGATAACCACCGTTCGACTTTACTTGTACCAGACTACGTGGAGCTACGCTGTCCTTGCCTTTCAGATTCTGTTCGTCCTCGTCACGTTTGTATTCGTCTACAGAGAAGGTAATACTATGGAAGAAATACTTTACAAAGGATAAAGCCTGTTAGTCAGATAACATTTATCGGCATAAGTTTTTTTTTAGCAAAATGAAGTGCACACGTAGTTTTACGTTGCATTTTTTTTTTGTTTTCTGCCAAAGTCAGTATAAGTTCGGGAGCAGTCTGACCAGAATAAGGCCACTCCTACGAGTGATCTATACGAATTGAATAAAATTTGAGCTAAGTTAGAGTCAAATTTTTACCGCCCGGACACACCCTGAACTCTGCTTATCTGCTTTTGAACACCAGCCAAAATTTGCCAACAAACTTGGCCAGGTCTCTTGTTCACAGATGCTTCAAACGTATTTAAACATAAAGCTGGTACAGCCAAACAGTAGCCTACATGTAATTCGCCGAACTTCAGCCAAGTACAGCCGACTTTGCTTCCGACCTGGTCCTAACCATGGTTGGGGAGAGTTCGGGAGGCCATATTCTGTGTGACAGGGGCTTATGATAGATCTTACGAACGTGATAACTGGTCGAAAGATGAAGTAATCCGATCATTTTATTCCATGTACTCTTTTACCCTAGTGAACAGAATACTGCTGATGGGGACGGAGTACTTCCGTCTGTTTTGGAATCTGGTGGAGCTTTGCGTGTGCCTGCTGTCTTTGGTGCAGATTGGACTTCAACTGTACACCATGTACATTATTCTGGACTTTAACAGGAACAAGGCTGGAACTACCAACGACAGATCTTTCAGGTAGGTGATGAACCCTATTGAGCCACCAAACGGCCATTCTTGCTGAAGTTACATGCAAGCATCTGTATCACAACGTTAAGCCACGACTAAATTTTATGGTTGGCATCCGCTCACTTATTTTTTTTCGCCTGTAGTCCGAAAAACAAAATCACCTCCTTGGAGGCTAAATTGTAATTTGGAACTCAGTCTGGTGCCGACGTATAAAGGCATCGCCATCTTGAGTTGCTGATATAGTGTGATCTTTTCGATTTCTTGTAAGACCTACGTGTGCACATGTATACATTTTTACATACTGAAAGATGGTACAACATGGTGCATCCGGGTTCTCTTTAACAAAAGTGATCTTAGTATACATGCTAGATCTGTATATCCTTCAATAACGACTTTTTGCTAAACTGTGTTTAGTATTTCAATTCGTGTCACTGGTCTTGTATTCCTGTCAGCTTTAGCATTATTTTTGCTGGATATTCTTTTGCCCTCTCGTACTAGTGTGGGGTCTCCAGAGGATGTCATCTATAACATTGAGTCTATGTGGCCTTTTACAGAAAACAAAGACAGATGAACTTTTATGCTAAGAATACATTATTTTATTTCCTTGTTTTTTGTTGGTAAATTATGCCAAGAGATAAGGCTTTGAGAATATTTTATATTCTATTTTCCATTAACTTGCTTTCAAAAGATGTGTAGAATTACATAAGAATATCTGATCTTGTATGAAATAATTTTAGCTTCTTTTGCATCCTTGTGTTTACAGTAAATACAGACAAGCAGCTAGTTGGGACCAGCTGAATACCTACGTGCGAGCCTGGCTTGTCTGTGTGGCCACCCTTAAGCTCATGCACCTGTTTCGTTTCAACAAACACGTAGAAAGAAGTGCCGGTACTTTAACCAGATCCGCCAAACCACTACTAAACTACCTCGTTATCTTCATCATCACCGTGTCGGCATTTTGCATGCTGACGTACCTTGTACTTGGTGCTTCGCTTGAAGGATACAGCCCGTACATAACCAACATTGAAACGATGCTGGGGGTGATGCTTGGAGGCTTCGACTTCAATGCACTATCAGACGCTCACAGCTTCCTTGGACCTTCCATTTTCTTTAGCTACCTGATGTTTGTCAACTTCCTCCTACTGATGATCTTCTGTGCGATTCTGGACATGGCGTACCATGAGGTCATAGAGGAAGAAAGCGAAGACCAAACATCGAAAAATCAGAAGATCACAGAGCTTGGAATGAAACGAGCAGGTGATGCTTACCAAAGAGCGAAGAACAAGATAGAAATATTACTGAGCTGGAAGACGCAAGTCAAGACTGTTCGTGGAAATACGCCGGCGTACACAAACGCGGGACTGAAAGGGGATCTCTTGCAAGCAAGAAGGGAAGCACTCTCGTTCGTGAGGAGTAAGGATTCCTTAGCAAAAGGAATAGAAGGGTGTTACGAGAGCTCAGCTTTTGATTCAGACCACGGAACTTCCAGGAAGAATTCATCAGACTTGTTTCACTTAGAAAGCGGCAATATTCCTGGGTACGGATCACGATAAAAGGGGTGTATAACACTTCGGTATGCTTTGTACGTAAGGGAGGAAGGGGACTAGATAGCAAAATAACGTGTGCAATGCTTTTACACAGGTAAAGCGCTGTATGTGTTTCGGGCTAACATTGGTGTCAATTTCTGAATGGGGTTTAGGTTGCAGAATACCCTAACACTGTATTAATGAGACAGGTGTATAAGGTCATTCAACATTCATTTGATAAAAATGATTGCATGGCTTGGTGGATACGTTCTGTGTAGTATCATGACTCGCATATTCAAATTGTATTGTATTGTATTGTACTGTATAGTATTATATACATAGGATTGTTGCTAGTCCGAATATACTTGTATTATATTATGTATATATAAATGAATCCATGTATTTCAGCCTAATGCATTTTTGCGGAATATGTGACTCCCATAGATTTATCCGGTATAACATCTGTTAATATACGGTAATTCGTTTTATCTTGATATAACATTTTGTTAGTGTTTTTGTTGCATGTAAGGTGACATATCTTACTTGTTTGAATCACATAAACTTGGGAGCCTAGGTACAGAGTTGAATGGAAAATATGACAAATGCATTATGTAATTGTAATTGGTTGGAAAGCAAAGAAACAGAATTGCTGAGTAAGGTCTGTTTCTTATCGATGAAATCTAAACACCAAATTATTCCATCCGTTCTTGTATTTCTGCAGATGTGTACAATGAAGACTTTTATGCTGCCGGGAGAAGTGGAATCTAATCGACAAACGACCTTTAAGTTTCTTACCTATTTTATTTATTTCGTCTACACATGTATGTATGTGTGTATAACATTTTGGTGCGCTTTGTATGTAAAAGAGGTAGGTGGCTAAATAGAGGTAAATCGATAGATAGATAAATAAATAAAAAGATATATAACGATGTAGATGTATAAAGAAACATATAGTATAGCACAGAGGTAAAATAATTAGCCTCTGTACTATAGGTGATTGGCTATGAACCTTTTAAATTATTCTGCAGCCGCAAATTATAACGTAATATTGCAAATTCAAGAAAGAATAACGCTCATGCTACAACGAACTCATCTTACCATAAGGAGAAACAAGTGTTAGTGGTTGTAGAGGTGTGATAGGCTATGGGGCAAACTTAATTTAAAGGCTGACCTAAGAATGTGTTACATATAGCAATTTCTGGATGACTGTAATTTGCTACCTTTTATTAGTTTCATTCTGTTGTTTGTTGTATTTATATATTTTCAATTTCATTGATTTCTTTATCTTCCGCAATTTTTTTTTCGTACAATCTACTTTATGTTACAATTTTTGCATGTGACTTTATTGTATTTATGTACTTGTTTCTTGGTCTATGTTAGCTTATGTAGATGTACGTAGGCCAAGGTGTCTCTAAGGTGGAATAAGTAAATAAACTTGAAAGGTAACATTTGCAAAGCAAATACCTACCTTTCCATGTTCTAGCTTACCAAACTACTGGTCTGTTTAATGCATTCTTATATTGTTTGTTTGTTTGTTTTTATTAGATCTCCATTAGTGTTCAACTGGCCACTATTCTTCCTGGAGTCCACATAAAATTAAGAATTTTAACAACAGAAATGTACAGAATTCAACACAATATTAACATAAATTGAATAATCTAAAGTAATTAACATAATTAATTAACATAAGCTGAGTTCGAATCAGAGTGATCACTGACATTAAACAAAGTAACATAACTATTGTATATGGTGAACAGTCCCTCCAACTCTGCCTTGTTACCTAATGTAACCTAACACCACATGGTATCTGCCGCAGCACCAGTAACCATGGTGACAGATGTCTATTCAAAGTAATTGACTTTATTTGTTTAAGGAAAAGATAAATAAACTGAGCAAAAAAATGTGTTTTCTTTCTGCGAACTACAAGGTTAACATAAGAAGTGACAGCCCTGCACCTGACAATAGGAGATAAAGAAATGCACGAAATTCTTTGACACTTTTTGGTAATCTTGTGTGGTATACCATTAAGTTTTAAGAGAAAAACGGCGTCAAAATGACGTCAAAATGACGTCATATTACGTCATAATGATTTTAAAATGGTTGATATTATTGATTATTACTAGTACACCTCACTCTAAAAATTTAGCTGTCATACGACATACCATTCTTCAGTTTGAGTTTTGAGAGGGGGGGGGCTGATTCGCCCCCCTCCAGTCCCAAAGATTTAAAGAAGCCCAGTCTAGATAGGGTTAAACCAGTATACATCTCAACACCTGACCTCATGTAGTGTAGGTTTCTCATCATTTTTAAAAGCTTGTTTAGCATGTTTCAATCCAATTCAATGTGCTTTCAACAAATGTTGTTTGCTGTCTATTAACCCTACCTAGACCGGGGGGGGGGCTAAAAGTGCCCGCGGCAACTTTGATGTCACCTAGCGTCTGAACGGCTAGCCGTAGAACGGCCAAACTTGGTGACTTTTCCTAAAATATTGTTGGCAACAATTCTTTATCATTGGAATAAGATAATAATTTTTTGTGTTGCCATGGCAACGGGTTTCTGACAGGCATTTTTTGCTAAATTTAGTACTTTTTGTTTCAACAATAGAATTTTATGGGTTTTATGTCAAGTTACTCATGGTTTCTAATATTAATAACATCCCATATAATTTTATGTAAATTTTATCATTAAATATGCATAATTTATGCTAATTTGATGACGTCATTGGCCAAAATCCAAGATGGCGGACCATATCATTAGAACAGGTATATACAGGTTATTTTCATTAAAATTTCATCAATACTTCCATTTCTTTTTCCAAAAAAGGTTTAAATGAAGGTCTTTAGTATGTTTACAATGTATTTTAGGCTTTATCATGAAAAAAAACTATTTTTGAAAATTCAAGATTGATGATCCAAGATGGCGGATATCTTAAATATGCATGACGTCATGTTATGACGTCACCGGTGTTGCTATGGGCAACATAAGACTTAGTACACCATAATATTCTGTCATAAACACTTTTGGTACAGTTATGTTGAATACCATTGAGTTTTCAGGGAAAAACCTATTTAGACGGTTTTGGCCAATAAAATCACATTGATGACGTCATAATGACGTCATATTACATCATAACGACATAAAAATTGTAGATATGATAAATTTTCACTCGTACACCATTCTCTGAAAATTTGGTGGTCATACGACATACCGTTCGCGAGTTCTTAGGGGGGGGGGGTCAAAAGAGCCCCCCCCCCGGTCCCCCCATGTCAAAAAAAGCCCGGTCTAGGTAGGGTTAATGTGGTCGTCTTTCACAGGTGGCCCTCCTAGGCAGGTCACCTTAAAAATGCTGGAATGTGCTTAAAAAAAAAGGACCAGGAATAGGTGATTGGTATGGTCAGGTTGCTTCCTAAAAGAGGCAGGTTTGAATGACAATAATTGCTCTTTTAGCTTAAAGAAAACAGACTTTGCTCTTCATCCAACAACTAAGAAATGCCTACTGTCTGATTGACTATGCTATTTGTTATGTGTTCAGGAAAAAGCATATTCTTGACCCTGTTGTACTCCTCCAACAATACCTTTGTAGTTGGTCGTTGACTGGGGTCCCTATTGTGACACTGTTGGTGTACTTTGTACAAATGTGACCTGACAACATCACTTCCATTTACATTTCCCAGTAAGTAGTCAACAACTCTTGGGATTTTCCAAATGTCAGATTTTTCATCATAAGGAGGCATTCTTGAGTCATTAAATTTTTCGTTTTCAAAGGGCCAAAGCTGCTCAGGTGCAACATATAGTGACCTAATCCTTATCGAAAAGCATTTGAAAGAAAGTTTTGCTTCATGCTTTACTTCTGGTATTCTATCCAGGTCACTTAAGACAAGTTTGAAATCCTGTGTGACAAGAAACTGGGATAAAGTTTTGCGGAGACTGTTTGAGTCGCACATGACTCGTGTGCCAAGTGGACTATTGTGTAGGAAATGTATACATTCTAAGTAACTCAGAGCCATGTTAAATCTTGTCCGGACATTGTTAAACTTGCTGTATGCGTTTAACTTTAGGGTATTCTTAATAAAGTCTGCAGATCCTAATTGATAAAACTCTGTAAGGAGAGTTGTGTTGCATGATCCCACATACTGCAAAACAGAAGGGTGTTGCAGGGTCTTTAGCATCTCTATATCTTGCAAAAAGTACTTGAGATGAGTCGGCCTCGTCAGGTTACTGTAGGCCACTGTGTGGTTTCTCCAGATAGCTTTGTAAACCTACAAAGTGCAGAAAGGATGTATGTTGTAGTTCTATACAGCATTTAGTAAAATGTACATAACGTCATGTCTGTGTGTGTAATAACCTGCACGCTCTGCATCCGTAGAGCCTGTGGCCTAGGTTGCACCCAATTTGGACACGATTAGATATTTCATTGTTCTTTTAAATGTGGACGTACATATAACGCTTGTACAGTGTACAAGGAAGATTATTACATCGAACCTCTATACATAAAAGGACCCAACACACTTATTTAGAAGATTTAGAGTAGGGGTATACGACAACATACTTGAGCTGTAGTAAAGATTATAAACAAATCCCTATTGCACTACTTATGCAATGTTTCGTCCTCAGTCTGACGTTGCCCACCTTTGTAATCTGTCATATTACCTTTTACATCTAAGATACCAGCTGTTTCCCAGTTGACGAACCTACAATAATGTTTCCTGATAACCTGATCTACAAATGAGAAGTATGTTACATGTATGACTAATCAGATATGCATGTTGCTGACTTGCATGTACCAGTATTTAGTGCACATATGAAAATTGTTCAAGATCTGATGGAAATGGGAAAACACAAATCAGTAATGGTTTCCTGAATTGGGCATCTCACACAGTATTATAATCTAAAAGGGGAAAAAGTTGTAATCTGAAAATAGCCTATTGCATATATTATGATTGTTTGTGCTAGCTGCGCCTCTACTACTAGAATTAGCTATCCGACATACATTTTACGTCTACACTCGCCTACAGCAGAATCTAACA